CCAATATTGCTACTGCACTCATGCTGGCTTTGTTGTTCCTCCAAAGGTCAAGCTTCTTCAACAACTGCAAAGTCCAAACAATAGGACTTGCAAGATCAACTTGTAGGAAACTTGATGTGCCCCGTTTTAATCAAGAAGTTTGATTAAAAGTTGTATCCTTCAACGTGGTGTGGTACTTGAGGCAAGGAAACCTTCAACTGTTTACACTTTAGCTCTTTGGAAGAAGGAGGAGTTTGCTTCTGGATAAGGAGTTTAGAAATCTCTCTTTATCAAGCTTTTTGGCTAACTTTGAATAAGATAGCTTTTTTAGTTGTTCGCTGTGTTCATCATATCTTCTTCAATCTTCCATGGGAGCTATATATAGGCTGGATGGATAATCTATCTGTTGAAGGGAATAGACTATCTGTTGCATTTGCTGGCTTCAATTTGAATGAAGAGGGAGATTGAGGATTCTCCTTGGAGAGGGTGTTTGGACATACCCAATTGTTTGAAGAGGGATTCCTTTTTCACAGAATCCGTCCTTTAGCTGTTTTTCAAGAATTCTGGACTGTAGCTCTTTATTGAGTGGAGTACCCATTGGTCTTCTTGTGTTTGTTCAAGAATACTGACCGAGCTCTTTAATTTGAGGAGTCCAGACTTTGTCTTCTTGTCATTTGTTCTTGAATCAGCTCAACTATCCTCAATCTAGCTGTTGAAAATCAAGAGATTGATTTTTCTTTACCAACGGGTAGAATTTCTTCATTCATGACTTAGATAAATTTCTAAGTCTTTTCTCACTTGTCCGCTTCTGAGAGTTCTCGTCTTTCTTGAGACATCCGGCTCTTAGCTTGACAGTTCTGGATAAGTCATTCTTAGACTTCCGGGTGAGAAGATGATCCGCGCTAGTCTTCCCATCCGGATGACTTATCCTACAGCGGATTGTAGCGAGACTTCCGGGTATCAATGAACATTCTGGTTTTGAGAATTCTAAAGTAATCAAACTTCTTTGAATATTCCTTTCTTGTCTCTAATAATTCCGAGCGAGAGTTCCAATTTCCATATCACTGATTTTGGTAAGTCTTCAAAGTACAAACTCAAAATGAAATATCACAAGTTTTATTTGAAATCTCAAGAACTTGGTTTTAACAATATTTATAAAAAGAAAATTACATTGAATAATGGGGGAGATCTAGAGTCCCTATTACAATCTAAATACATCATCATCAAAATCTAATATTTTTTCCAACAGCACTTAAGAGCATGAACGTGTGAACACGTGAAAGAGTATATTTTATTCACAAAAGATTGTAAGTAGCGAGTAATGGCTGAGATCGACTTGTTATTTTTCTCAATCCATTACGTATAAAATGCAATCAAATTGTAGGTGTTCCAGTGTCTCCCCAATTCTCGTTCTTCTAAGGTACTCAGCTTGTACGTACTAGGTCAGAGGGCGACAATGACTTGATATGGACCATCATAGTTTTTGGTAAATTTTCCGCCCTCTATTGTCTAACTGGCCTCCCTCTTCCCTAAAACTAAGTTCCCGACTCTAAATTCTCTTGGTTGTACTCTGTAATCATTGTACTCCTTTACTTGCCTTCGATAATTTTCTGCCTTCGGGAAAGCTCTCCCCGTATGTTCTTCAATGAAATGGAGGTCAATTGCCATGATCTCATCATTTTGCTTCGGATTGTAGTGTTAGACAAGGCGTGCAACTCTAGAGGGGGGTGAATAGAGTTGTTGAGAATGTTTACCGATTTTCGCAGGATTAATAATATAAACGTAAGTGCAGCGGAAATAAAAGAGAGAAGGCAAAGAACACACCGATGTATACTGGTTCACCACCTCGTGGCTAGTCCAGTTCCCCAAGAGACTCTCTCGAAGCTACCACTACTTATCAAGCTTCAACGGGTGCTTGACAAACCGTTTACAAACCGAGAACTCGAATCCCACAAGCCTCAACACAACCGCTCGTAGATGTGCCCTCTACAAGACTTCACAACCAAGACTTAAGTCACAAAAGTCTTGAACAACAAGAAGAACAATCTTTTTCAGCCTCTCAACATAAACTCTCAAAAGAGTAGGAATGAGAAAATGTTCAGCTCTAATGAATGACAAGAAACCTCTCTAAAAAAACAACTAATTTTCTCTCAAAATGATATAAATTTGAGGAAAGATTGATGGAGGATTAACACCTCGAGAATGGGGAGTATTGGAGTGTTTCTTATTATGAAAAATGACCAAGGAAATGTGTTTAAATAGGAGGTGAAGAAATATATCCGTTGGTCCAAGAAAAGAAGCTGGGATGAAAAATGCAGCATAATAATCGATTAATGCACTGACATTAATCTATTAATGCAGCATCATCAACGATTAATGCAGTTGAAAGAAAATCGATTAAATTAAAGGGATTAATCGATTAGAAGGCCCTGTGTGAACTAATCGATTAAAGGGAAGGAAAAAAATTGATTAAACTCAAGACTTGAGTAATCCAACGCTAAGCAAAACTCAATTAATCGATTAATCAAGAGATTTTAATCGACTAATCAAAACAAAACTGGGTAAATCGATTAAAGTGAGAATATTAATCGATTAGATTTGAAATGATGCACAAACACAAGGGCCCCAAGCCAGTTGCAAGAAGAGAAGTAAAAAATGTCATAACGCGATTGTTTCAGACAAGAGGAATGAGAGACACTCCTCAAACAAAACCTCTCCTATTCAATGTATTTGAATAAGGGAGTAAAGTGAGTCCAAAAATTATTTTGTGTGTCAAATGATTTACACGAAAAATATTTGAATAAAATATTTTTGCTTACCAAAAATATTTTATAATATCAAAATAAATATTTGATAAATGTTTGACACACTTTTTGTAACTGACTCAATAAAACTATTTTGAACCGTTAAAAAGATTTTTCAACTGACTCCAAAAATAAATATAATTTTTATTTTAACTCTCATAAAAATAATTTTGGAGAGAAGATATTTTTGTCATCCTTACAATAATTCCTAAGACTCAAATAAATAAAAAGTCTTCGGAAATCTTCTGCTCCTCCGAGTCCTCCATTAGGCACTCCGAACGCGTCTTGGACTTCAATAAAATCCTGTGCACTTTTTTGAATATGTCAAGGAAAGGCACTTCAAGTCTTCGTGTTTGTCGTTGTAGCACTTTGATCTTGTCTTGAATAAATTGTGTTTGTCAATTATCAAAACCTGTGAGTCAACACTTAACAACACAGAAAGGGTTGAACTCATGCATTCCAACATGTAGGCCTCTTCCATTTGGTTGGGGATGATCATCTCGAGCAGCACTCTAGCTTCAAACCCTAACACATGGAGAATCGAGTTTCTCGTGTGCCCTCTTGGGTGTTGTTCAATAGGCCTAGAGTACATTTGGGAGTTGGTCCACCCAAGCACCTTTTAATGCCTCCGATGTCTTCTTGCTTCCATTCATGATAGTTTTGTTGGCGTTCTGTACTTGGACAATCCTTTAGATATGCTACTAAGTTGTAGTTATGTTTTATCCCCCAACTCTACAGAAGCTCATTGAACTCCCCTACTTCGAATTGAGTGCAATTGTTCGTCGTGATCAATCTCGGGGTTCCATATCGACCTAGTATGTTCTTGCTTACAAATTTCTGGAATTGTTCAGCTGTCCCTCCTACCAGTGGTTCTGCCTCTACCCACTTGGTTGAATAATCCATGGCTACGATGATCTAACGAAAGTTGTTGGGAGCTTTGGGCACAAGGCTGATCAGGTCTATTCCCTAACATGAAAAAGGAATAAACAAACAGATGAGATTGTAGCTTGTCCCTGGCCGACCGCGAATGGCCTAACATTGCTTGCAGACTACACACTTTTTCGTGCACTCGACGCAATCCTTAACCATGGTCGGCCAAAAATATCCTTGCAAAACAATGTGTCTTTCCATGGAGAGGGGGCCTTGATGAGCCGTGCACATACCGTTATGTAGGGCCGAGCAACGGTCGGTTTCGGTCGGTTTCGGTTTGAAACCGAAAAAACCGACTTTTTTTAACATGGTTGAAAACTGACTGAACCGAACCGACCATAAATTAAAACCGACCGAACCGAAACCGAAAACTGCCCATACATAAAAAAACCGACCAAAAAACCGAGTTCTAATTACTTTTATTTTGATTTTTTAATATAAATTCAAGAAACTAATTCTGCAAGCTAGATTGATATGTATTAAATTAGTTTAGATTAACACTTTTCTATTGTCATTTATTTAGTAAGGTAGATTAATTTTTATTTGATAATACACTATCCATTTCATATAAAAATTGCACTTTTCTTATTAATATGTTCAAAACATTAACAAATAAATTTTATAAAAGTGAAACATTATAGTTTTCCATGAAAGAGTAAAAAGAAAGCATGAATGTTAATCAAATATTTTTTTATTTTAAAAAATAAAAAATAAATTAAAATAAAATCATCGCTAATTCGGTCGGTTCGGTTTTTCTTACAAAAAACCGAAAACCGACCGAAAAACCGAAAAAACCGAAAATAACTTTTACATGAAAACCGAAACCGAACTTCCGGTTATTTTGGTTTTCGGTTTTTGGTTTCGCGGTCGGTCCGGTTAGTTTGCTCACCCCTACCGTTATGAACCTCCTCCATGATCAGCTTGGGCTTTTCCTCCATGATGAGCTTGGCCAAGTTGTAGGATTTTCTGTACAACTTAGAATTTTCGATGACATAAGGTGCCCTCCTCTTGATCAATCAGGCGGTTGTTTCATCAATTGACAAGATGCCTTATTCTTTATACTTTATCAGCTTTGTGATTCAGTCAGCCGCTCCATCCTTGATGGTCATTACTGGCTAGGCATGTACACTTAGGGAGCCGAGCTCCTCCACGTGAGCCATTTTGGAGATGTGTTTGGAGCTGTCGTTACTCAACTTGGAGAGGATGCTGGCTTCACTATTTTCTGCACTCACGATCTAGATAATCTCGTGGCCTTTGAATAGATTGAGCAATTACACGGCTGCCTGGTTTCAAAGTCAACTTTGATTAAGCCAACGACCAGACGTGAATCGCATCTGATCTTTACATACTCTACATTCAGGTTTGTAGTGTCGTGAGTCTGCTCAGCAAGGCCTCATACTTTGCTTCATTGTTGGATACTTTGAATTAGAACTTAATTGCATGCTACGAGCAAAATCCTTCTGGTGATTGAAGGACCACGCTTCCCCCACTAGCTTTGACCGCGGAGGGTCCATCAATCAAAAGTGTCCACCATTCTCTTTGCTCCATAGTCGGTTTAGGATTGTTGTCTCGTGCTGTGCATTCTACCATGAAATCCCCCACAGCTTGCCCTTTTATAGCCATCCTCAGCTTTATCTCGATCTGGTATTGTCTTAAGTACAAAGACCACTTGATGACCCTGTTTGATGGCGTAGGATTCTGAAGAATAACGCCCAGAGGTTGATGACCTCTTACCTCCACTTCATGGGCTTGAAAGTAATGATTCAGCTTATTTACCACGATGACCACAGCTAGGATTGTCTTTTCAACCACCGGGTATCTGAACTTGGCATCCTGCAGTGTTCTACTGACATAGTAAACCGGCCCCTGGGTTTCCCCTTCTTCTCTCAAGAGGATGATACTCACCGCCATAGGGCTAACACTTAATTAAAGATATAATTTCTCCCCTTTGATAGGCTTTGAGAGGACATGCAGGATTAGTAAAGATCTCTTCAAGTCTTCGAATGTTGTTTGGCATTTGTTCATCTACTGAAGTTTTGGCCCTTTCTTGAGCGTACCGAAGAATGGTAAACTCTTCTCGCCTAACTTTGACAGGAATCGACTAGGTGCTGCCATCTTCCCTGTGAGATGTTGTACCTCTTTTATGGAATGTGGGGGTTCCATATCCAAGACCACCTTTATCTTCTCAGGGTTGGCTCAATACCTTGTTTGCTGACGAGGTAACCCAGATACTTACCTCCATCAACACCAAAAGTACATTTCTTAGGGTTAAGGCGTAAATTAAATTTGCGCATAACGAAAAAACCTGGGATAAGTCTCTGGTGTGGTATGTCACTGATTTTCTCTTGACGATCATGTTGTCTACATATGTTGCCATGGACTTGCTCAGCACGAAATGAAAAATGCAACTCACCATCTGTGTGTATGTTGTGCCATTGTTCTTCAGTCTAAAAGCCATCTTCTCTGCATCGTCTTCGTCCATGTAGATCTGGTGATAACCTCTGAATGCGCCCAAGAAGGACATTATCTTGCAGCCTGTCATCTCATCGATCTCCTAATTGATTTTCGGTAGAGGGATGGGTCCATCGGGGAGGCGCAGTTAAGATCCATGTAATCAACACATTCGAAACGTCGGCTCCTTAGGGGCAAGGACGATGTTTGCCAACCAAGTTGGGTACTTTATCTCCTTCAATGCCCTGCCACCTAGAGAAATGTCAACCTCTTTTTTTCACAAAATCCCTCCTTTCCCCGCAGTTAGTTCTACTGCGAGGAAGTAAGTGACCATAGATCAGCTGATCCTCGCCATGTCCTCGATGCTCCAAGAAAAAACTAAAATTTTACTAGAGGACCTGCACAATGTGCATTCTGAGGTTGACCTTCATGGTGGTTCCCAATTTTATCTTCTTCTCTAGTTGGTCTTCCAGGATAGCCACCTCCTCTACTTCCCCAGACGGTTCTTCTCAAGGTCTCCCATCTTCTTCGTTCAGTAGGGCCATTATAATGCTATCAATTCTCAGGTCCTGAGTGTCCATCTTCTTTGCTTGCTTTTGGTAGCAGAGCCTAGCTAGCCTTTGGTTTCCTCTACGAACTCATACTCCCGTGTTGGTAGGGAATTTCATGCATAAATACTTGACAGAGGTAACCAAATCTAAATCTTCAAGCGTTGGCCAGCCGATGATAAGGTTATTGTGACCTGATCAAGCGAACCACCATGAATTCAACGAGAATCATCCTCTTGTGATTCCTGTCTCCGAAGGTGACTATGACCTCGACCAAAACTTCTGCATCAATGATTTCCCAAGTGAACCTCGATAAGAGAGTCCGTACTTTGAAAAGTATCTCCATCTTCAAAGCCAGATCTTCAAATGTCTTGATGTACGTGATGTTGACAGAGCTACCACTGTCAACATAGTAACGGTGTATTACTATATCATTGATCTCACACTTGATGACTAGGGCATCCCGGTGGGGAAAAGGAGATCTGGCACGTCCTTGAAATCCAAAAAGATTAGCTCCTTCTATTGTCAACTTGGACGTTTTGGGTGTGTTGCTGACATCGCGAACACAGGCCGAATGTACCCATTTCTTCCTCTGCTCGCTAGAGTCCCCTTTTATATCGCCTCTATAGATCATTCTGTTCTCCTCCACCCTCTTGTGTTTGGGTGGAGCTTCCTCGTCGTCGCTCGGCAAGCCTATCTCCTTTCTCTTTGGAGGTGCTTCTTCCACTCTCTGCTTTCCCTGATTGTCAACCAGTCTCTTTCAGTCGTCCTTCCACCAGGTATTGCTTCTCTTGATAAACTGTGTTAGCTCTCCCACTTGGATGAGGTTTTCAATCTCCCGCTTTAGGATCTTGCAGTCATCCGTATCGTGGCTAGGTCTTTTCTGAAAACAGCAATAAGGGTTGTTGCCAACAGTGTAGACGGGCGCGAATATGTGATTGTGCGTGACCAAGCCTTTGTCTTCAGCATATTCCAAGATCACACCGACGGGCTGCATAAGCAGAGTGAGTTCTTCTAGCAACATGAGTTTGGGACCACAAGGAGGGTACAACGGATAAGTTCTTCTCTCCTCAATATGTTCCCTTCTGTAAGATCTTTGATCACGTTGGTCCCTACTTTGATTAACGTTAGTTGGTCCCTACTCTCTTTGGTGCAGCCTACGCCGAACCTGTCAGCTTGCTCTCTTCATCCTTCATCTTGTTCATCTCAAATTCTTTGGCCTCAGCTTCATCTTCTACCATGGCAATGGCCCTGGTGTAATCCTTATGTTTCTCCAAGTCTCATGATCTCAAGACCAAGTGAAAAATCACAACTTGGTTTTGTCATCTGCTCCATAAACCATAGTGGCCTCCAACTTCCACTTTGACAGGAATTCCTTCAGGGGCTCGTCAGGCCTCTTCCTGACAGAGAAAAGGTGAGAGAAGTGGAGCTTCTTCTTGCAGTTGGCCGCGATCGCGGCCAAGTCCTCCCACAAATCGATCTTCCCCTTCGGCAGGTCATTGAACCATTCCGATGCGAGCCCATATAAGGTCGTCAGGAATGACCTGCAGAGGACTTCTTCTGAGAACGTGACCATGTTCATTAGTGTCTGGTATCGGCTAAAGTGTTCCTATGGTTTTATCGTACATCAGTACGACAGACATTTGAAAACTCTCCTAGAAACGGAGCTCTCAATACCCCATCAGAGAAAAGAGAACGTAATTTCAACGTCGGATCCAGTGGGTAGCCATGCTCATCTCTCCTCTCAAGCGCATCTATCTTTTACAAAAGGAAATCGATGTGCTCATCCTTGAGGACGTTCGCCCCCTCCCCCACTCGTCTGCCCTTTTAAGGACGCATTGGGCCAGCCTGANGTTCCTCCTCGCATGGCATCTTGATCTTCTCTCCTTCGTGCTCCCTGGTAATGGTCTTCCTCCGGTTGTGCAAATGTTCTTTTGCAGGCATGCACATCCTAGTAAGGACAGATACATGCGACTTGCTCTCGTCCTGGCCTTCCTTAGGGGTGGGTCACGACGCCTTCTTGGTTCCTCCATGTTGTCCTCTTTTCCAATGGCAAAGTTATTCACCTTAGGCTCATTCCCCGGTGCCTTTCCATGGTTCTCTGGTCGGCGCAGGTGCTCCGCCTCCTTGTTAATCCACCCACTTTGCAGGTTTGCCGTGACAAGTGGGTCGCTCATCATCTCTCTCAAGTTCTGCGCAAAGAGATCCTCATTCTACGCCGTGGCTCGTGGATCATTCAACTCGCCTCCGTGCAAGACCATCACTGGATCTTGACCTGGCATCGTGGTATGGAAGCCCATCATGGAAGGGCTCGTCATCGTCCGCATCATGGTCTAGAAACCATTGGAGTCCATCATGTGAGGCCTTGTCCCAGATGTTTCATCATAATGGTCAAACGGGGAGTTGATGTCTCCATGTAACATTACTCCTGTGATACAAACAATCTCTTCGGGATTCTACATCAAATTCGGAATAGTTCTTGTCAGGGTTGTCCCGTGCTGCATGGAAATATGGAGATTCTCCCCACCGATAATATATCAACGCAAGATGCGATTAAGAAGATCAGCCATGGGGGCTGTGACTTCATTCAGACTAACTTCTAGATCGATGTCGTAGGTGTTGGTTGGTGTCGTAATCGTGATCGTGTTAGCGCCGGCGTTGGCAGCAACAGTTGACCTTGTCACCCTCCTTGAAGTAACCACCGTGAAAGATCAAGCATGATGTGTTTGAAAACTCTCAATGAAAGCACCAATGATGGGTTTATGAACCCGGGCCTAGATTAGACTAGGTAAAGGAGTAATCAAACGAGTAGAGTGCCCTTAGGTTGCAAGAGTGCAATCTGAATATGCACTCTTTTCTAGACTGTATGAGTAGTTCTGATTATGATGCCCCTCGCTTGAAGTTAGGGGGGTATCTATACATGAGTTACATTTTTTTTGTTTGTGAAACCTATTTGTCATCTAGTTGTTGTCTATGACACAACCCATGTCAGGCCCAAGGGGTATGGGGTCCGTGACAGGGGCATAAAGAGCATAAGTGCAGATGCATCAATACATTGTATGGGTGCATTATTCTTGAAGGATGTTTCTGAATGGGCCTGTGGATAGCGAATTCAAAGCTCTTTGTGATCTCGCACTTAAGTCTTGCAATGTCAGAGGCTAGGTACGTATCCAGCAAAGGCCGAGTATAGATTTCTGCCACGCTGGAACCCGTATAACCAGGGTAGACTGCTGGGTCTGAGTTAATGTTTCCAAGCATAGGCCGTGTGTGACCATGATAGAAGACTTGTTTCGTCTAACCCACACCTTGCGGGGTACGCTTCGCTTGGCCAAGTGTAATTCATTTCCTCATGACCCGGTGGGCTTTCGTGTTGGGCTTGCTAATTGATTGGGCTTGATATCCCCCAGTCTTGGGTATCCATCACCTTCTATTAAATAAAATTCACTTGGGAGGTACGGAGGCTCGAGACCCCACGACCCATTTGTTTTCTTCATCAAGTAATGTCTTGTGACTCAATTATTTAGGCAAGGAGGCCTTCATGATCGAAAAGGCTCCCGAGACTCCTAGACCCCTTAGCGATTTGGCCTTTGGGACCAAAGTGGCTCCGATGAGCCTTTGACCCCTTAGTTATTTCTACTAGGAAAAGAGGCCTTCAGGACCAAAAAATGCTCTCGGGAACCCTTGACCCCTTAGCTATATCTATTAGGCAAAGAGGTTCTCGTAGCAAAAACGCTCACAGAACCCCTTGACCCCTTAGCTATTTCAATTAGGCAATGAGGCAAGGAGGCCTCATGGACCAAAAAAGCTCCCAAAACACCTTGACCCCTTAGCTATTTAAATTAGGAAATGAGGCGTCGATGAACTAAAAGGCTTTTGGAACTCCTTGACCCCTTAGCTAATTCTATTAAGAAATGAGGCTTCTATGACAAAAAAAGGCTCTCGGAACCCCTTGTCCTTACTAAGGAGTAATTATAACGAGCAGTTAAATCACTCACATGGGTGATGTGCTTGATTAACAATTGTAATTTTTTGATGGACAAGCCCACACAAGAAACTAAGGGCTTGTGATGGTTAGGTCAAGATGTAATTTTTAAAGTAATTAGCTAAATATAGTTATCCCAATTAATAAACTCTGCGCTAAGGTCCAGACCTGAAGAGTGGACTAGTGGGTGAACAGATAGGTAAAACCCATCCTGCCTGAAGGATAAGCTTGATGAGTTGGACCGACTATGACTTGGATTTTTAGGAGTAAGAGTTACCTAAGTTTTATATGAAAAACCTAACAGGATTAGGAAGTTTAGATGTTATAAATATCCCCAAAAGGGTTTTGAATAGAGTTTTTTTCTTCTAATTCTTGTGTTCAATATTCTTGTCTCTTTTTCAATACTATTTCCGTAATCACCGAGAGATATACGAGAATAATAGTCACTAGAGTTAAACTCCATCAAGTATAAGTGTCGTGTTTTAATAGTATTATTTAAATAGATTAAAATCCAAAGTTTCTCAACAGTCATTACAAGATTAACAAGAAATACAAAGTACAAACAACTCAAACAAACAGTCTTTTAGCTAACGTATCAATTTGTGACAACAATTATAATCCGTAAAGAAACCAAAAAAAGGTTACTCCATATACATTTTGAGAAGAAAAATGATAGAGCTAGGACAAGGTTAGGGCAATGAGTAGGGTAAGGGATATGAAATTTTTTTACCAATATATCCTTTGTAAATCACTGTTCACCCTTCCTACTAGAGGATATGATGGTAAATTTACCTTCATTACCCACCCTCATCCCTCTCTTTGCCATCATTCTTCCGAGAAATATATATTACAATCTTCCTTAATTAATTAATTAGATACAGAAACCCAAACACTTAAAAAAAATTACGAGCATAATAACATTTGGAAAAGAAAGAAATAAAAAAAAAAGAAAAGAAGAAAGTACAGCTGTGACGTGACTTTGGAATAATTGGGGATGGAACAGGATAGATAAATCTGGATATAAAAATTTTGGTGGGGGAATTTATGAGAGTAAAATTAGAAAGTGGATCTGAAGGAGCGGAGGTCAATCTCTTGGGTCCAAGCGGAACGGTCTTGAACGTGCAAGTGCCAGTACGTGCGGGCCAACTCGTCCGGGTCCATTGACCCGTCTTCCACTCCTCCTTCACTCTGTTGCATATCTCTAAACCCCCATTTCTGCTGTTGTGAGCATGATGATGATGATGATGATGATAGTAATGATGACGATGATGCCCCTCTGTTCAAAATCATATTGTTAATTAATTAAGCCTAAGGAATATAATTAAATCATAATTCTCGAAGAGATGTGTTAAGAGTACTCCAAAGTTTGTACTGCAACTTGCACACCAGTGTATCACCGACATATACAACCAACAATTGTCTGTACATATACACACAATGATTGTCCGTATGTGTCTGTGAAACACTTGGCTTTTTAGTTTCCCCAATATAACACACTACATACTCCATAGAAAAAGAAAATATAATATAAACTATTTGGGGCAAATTCCACTATTCAAACCATATCAATGTTTTAAACTTTTTAGTTAGTTTTTTAATTACTTTTGACAAAGACAATAATTCATTGCATCTATAGTTCAGCCTTTTTTGGTTACCGTTAGTATATCGGAGCTAACCCAAGTAAATCTCAATTACTAGTCGTGTCGGTTTAACAAATGCATCAAGGTAAAGAACATGGATCTTCAAAGGAGCTTATAATTCTACCCACATAATAAAACTAGATTACGATAAATATTAAATAACGAATATTACATATTAAATAAATACTAACTAATAAATAATTAATCAAATGATCTCATCTACCATCCTAATGGTTGCACTCCCCCCCCCCCCCAAACCCCCTACTCCTCAAGGTGGAGGGTGGAGGATCTCGCTTATATTTTTGGACAAGAGAAAAAATGTTGAAGAAAAGAAGTCAGCTGCCTAGCGACCAGTTTCCAACGGACTTGTTTGCCAGGTTGAGGTGAGAAAAAATATGACATGAAACTAAGTATTTGGTCCTTTACAATGATCACATCACCCAACACACTTACTGACTTGTACCAAACAATCATGAGATGTAAGATCTAGCTCATAGGGCAACGCGTCATAATCCACATAATCCAAATTATAAAAAAGGAGTGAATCAAATTTTGAACTTCTTTTTGAGAAAATCGTCTCAACCATTAAGCAGGTCGTTGTTCGAACGCCAACGGAACCAATCAGCAACGGGGCCCTCTAACACCACACGATGCATTCGATCATCTAAAGGGATCTCACAAAGATGGAAATACTTAGACACCTCAGATAACCTCCATAAGGGCGCAGTCCCGTCACATTTTGGGGGAAATATCGTTGGAGAAAACGGAGAAGCAATGAGATTTCTTATAGTGCTCATCATGTTTGTTCTGAAAGTTTGTATTTCCAAAAGGATATGACTTAGTAGAATTGAAGGACAACGAACCAAATCTTATATCGAACAAGAGACTTCTATGTCAAACACATATAAATCAGAATCATAATTTGGTTGACCTGTAATATAACGAAATGCCTAGAGTTTCTTTATAATTGCATCCACGTGATCGTGCACCGCAGATACTCCTTCGTCTAACTCAATATTCCCATAAACAATATTCTCCAACACATAAAAAAGTTCATCTAATTAAGAGTTCATCATCGTAATAAAGGAGGAGATCGGCGAGGAATGCGTGTATGGAGTCTTCCCTCCCGTGTAAATCTTTATTTCACAGAGGAAAGGCGGTCTTGATTGAGGCTGGTGCAAAGTGACAAGCGTCCGTTTGCTGGATTGCGGCAAAAAGCCCGAAAGGTTTAGTGGGGGCATCACTTTCGAAAGACGGTTGATTCGCTCATTCTAATGGCAAACTAAGTACTGGTTTTGTGTTCAAATAAATGAAAGCACCAATTGATACAAATTTCGTATCCGATTTGGAAAACTTCAAGCTCCAGAATAGGAGCAAAAAAAAAGATTGAAAACTTCGAGCATTTCCAGGCTCTAAAGAAAAGAAAAAAAGATTAGGGTATATGATACTCTTGATTAATGATATTCTAAACAAAAATACATCTCTATTTATATTAGCGAGATGAAAACCCTAGCTTACCCTAGTAAATCCTAATTGTTAGTCATGTAAGTTTAACAAATGCATCGAGGTAATGAACCAAAAAAATCTCAAAAAAGTTTATAATTCTGCTCTCCTAATAAAAAATATCCATCCGCCCCAATTTAAGCTCTATGTTTACTATTCACATGATTAAATTTTAATTTCTTTTTTTGTTTATTTTCGTTACTCATTTGGTACCTCTTGTTTTGAATAACTTTTGATCTAGTTTATATATATATATATATATATATATATATATATATATATATATATATATATATATATATATATATATATATATATATATATATATATATTAATTCCACCCCAATTTGTATTAGAATTCATTTGAAAATAACTTTAGTCAAACATCGTAACCACAATAGGCAACTTAAAATAGGACGGATGGACTAGATTAAAATAAATATTATATACTGTAAGAAATACACTCTATTAAATACAAACTACTCCGGTAACTAGTAAATAATTAATCATATAATCTAATCTACTATCGTTATCAAAGTGTTAGATACATTTTGTGTGCTACGTATAATAGCTTAACACTTTATTTTAAAAATACTCTGTAATACTTTATGTATAACGTACTTCGTATAATAAATGTATTAATGTGAAATTAATTTTATAAATGTGAAATTTGTACTGGAATCCTTTTTCCCCCAATTTCTTTATATTCCTTCCACATCCCCATCCCCCAATTATTCATACAATTTCATTATTAAGAGAGCAAACTTGTTTTTCTACTAATTTCTATAAATCATTTGTTAAAATAATAAGTCGTGTCACTTTTTATTTTCTCTATTTTGGTTAGTCATTTCATAAAATAAAATAGTCATGTCACTACTAGTTTTTTAGATATTTTGATGTAGTATATACGACGTAATATGTCATTTTTATTTTTTAATTCTATATCAATTTTTATATAAAATGATTTAAAAATAAAGTTAAGCATCGTAAACCAAAACAGACAATACAAATTAGGATGGAGAGAATAATAGTTTATCGAAATAGACACTTTCTCTGTCACTATTTAATTTTGATAGTTTGACTTCACGAAGGAAAAAATGTGTACTAATATCTTTTACTTTATTTGAAAATTAAAGAGGTGTACATTTGTTCCAGAAAATCCAAAAAAGGAAAATGTTGTGATTAATTTGGATGGAGGTGGTAAATTTTATTTTAAAATTTTGCACTAAATCATTTTTAAATAAGATTAATTGAAAACAAATTGGACCATGCTACACTTACACCAAAAAAATATACCCCATTTATACACCACAGGTTTGCACAAACATTTCGATGGTTTACACCGACACAAGTGTTGGTGCGTTAATAAAAATTCACACGGACACAAATGTTGGTGCGTTTAACAAAAATTAGTTTTACACCAACACAAAGTGTTGGTGCAAAACTGTGAGGTGCAAATTAGGGTACAAACCTTGGAGTACACATAGCATAATCCAAATAAATTTAATCAAAGTGTACTATATATAAAGTCGCAATTAATTTGAGATACGTACCGAGGTGTTCCGACGGCGCCGTCAATGATGACGTGAGCTACGTGTATCCCCTGAGGTTGAAACTCTCTCGCTAGGCACTGTGATAAGGCACGCAATGCAAATTTTCCACAACCTAATGCACAAACCAAATGAACATATATTTTCAAATTATAATTAAGCATCTCAATTTTTTCATTAAGATAATATTGTACTTATTCCTCATTTTTAACAAAAAAAAAACTAGAAATATACCAAATTTGACACTAATTCGATGCACAGAACAAAATCGAGAGTATGTGATGTGTAAAAAAAGATAACTTTTCGCATGGCATACTCCAACTTTGGTGCAAATATGCTATAAAAAATTTGTGAATCACAAGTTGCACCTCATTTTTTACCTTAATGCTTTCAGAGAGATAACATACATGAAATAGTGTTTCATGTATGTATGTGATGTGTGTAAAAGCATTAGAGTCAAAATTATTATGTAACTTGGGATTTCACAAACATGGCTCAATAATGGTGGTCTACACCTAACAATCTAATGCATGGGTACACCAAAAGTATACTCCATTTGTACACCACCAAGCTCCTCAGTCCTCACCACACATGTCTTATTATTTTCTCTCTTTTCAAATCCACATCAAGAAATGAGTGGTAGAGAACATGTTGGTCTACAAGTGCGGTACACTTTTAGTGTACTCCTAGTATTATTATTACTCCCTCCGTCTCACCTTTCTTTTTTCATCCGTCCATAAAAACACTTCTCATTTCTATTAAAAAGTCACTTTTACCCCTTACTTTCTCATACCCTATCTATCACATATACCTTTTTACTAATAATCTATCCATCAAATCATACTTTTACCCATCACATCAAAGGACATTTTTGGAAATTCAATACCAAAATACACACCCCTTAAATCTCTCTTCAAAATCAAAACTCCCATGTTTTTCGGGACGGAGGGAGTATTATCTAGCATTGCTCTTGGAAGCACCATTCCCAATAAGTACAGGGGAAGCCACATCAAGTCTACTCCTTCGTCTCACTCCGACATTTTGGCTACTTCAGAGGTTAGATGCAGGAGGTTAAAGAGATAGGATTCACTTCAGAATCCAATAAGGTGAGAGAGTCCTCAAGAACTAATTCAATGTTATATTATGACACCCAAAATAAGTGTAAGAGAGACGTTGTCCATAAAAAAAAAATAGTCTCTTCTTTCTTCATAAAGATTGGGAGTAGTGATTAGGGAGAAGAGATCCTTACATAGTTCGGAAAAGCCAGCAATTCCGGCAAGGGAAGCCGCGCAACCTGTGAAAAGAATCGTCCCTCTTCCCCTTTCAACCATGCCCGGCAACACCTAAAATCATTTCCGTATATATTTCTTCCTTTCAGCCTTATTCCATCTTGAAACTGAGCAAAAAAAAAAAAATAACCTGCTGAGCGCAGTGGAAAGCCCCGACGGAGGAAACGGCCATGGATTTCTCGAAGTGTTCGACCTTAATATCCACGAAATTGGTCAGCGGAATCGGCACCGTCTTGTAGGCGTTGTAAACCAAAACTTCTACGAATCCGAGGGACAGGACCCCCTCGAACGCTTCTCGTATGCTCCGAGTGTCGGAACAGTCTATCCTTATGGCGAACACCTGGGCCTTCTCTTCTCTGGCGATCTCGTCGGCGAATCTGGACAGAGCGCCCAAGTCCCGAGCGAGAATCGCGACGGTGTAGCCCTCGTGGACGAACTTCCGGGCGATTGACCGGCCGAGCTTCGGACCGACGCCGACCACGGCCGCGATGCCTCTCGGTGGGGCGGCGGAGCTTGACATGCTGCGCATCATCATCTTACCTTTATTATTATTCGACTTATTGCCTGCCTGCCTGCCTGCCTGGATTTGAGTTATTGTTTTTGTGAAACTAACATAATAATAATAATAATAATAATAATAATAATAATAATAATAATACCAATTGCCAGAGAGGATAATGCAGCGAGTATGTGCAATATATACAATGTACGTGGTCGCTGTCGGGATCGGTGTGTCCCTATAAGGAAAGGCATTACAAGTTATTTGATGGGAACTGACGAGAAAGCCCAATCATTTGCCGTAGATCCAACTATATATATATATATATATATATATATATATATATATATATATATATATATATATATATATATATATATATATATATATATATATATATATATATATATATATATATATATATATATATATATATATATATATATATACCATGGTTTTGTGATTAATTTGTTGAGTTAATTCTTTTCAAAAACTAACCCACGATCTTGACTAAAGTGTGGAAGAGCTCTTCGAGGGTAGTAATGTGGCAGCGAATGAGCTTTTATTTTGTTCAAATGTATTTTTGGGAAAAGAATATTCCATATTGTGTTGGCATTATTTTTTGACAAACGAATAGATTTATCTAGAATTATTTTAGATATTTTATTTAGATTTAGAGTCCTAGCATGTGAAGGAAGAAGAAGAGGAAAGAGCTTGAAGAGATAATTCTAGTCCTACTTGGATTCTAATCCTACTTGGTTTACAATTCATAAGAAGGAGACCATGGTTGAGAATCCTAAGCACACACTAACATGGCTATTCTATTCTATTAATATCTTCACCCTCCCTTAGAGTTTTGGACGGGCAAAACTACGAAAAACCAGGAGCAAATTCGATCAAAAGAAAAACACAAGGTGCAGATTTTGAGACTGTAAATTCTCTGGACAGCCCGCACAGATTTGATCATCGCCAGAGATCCGACCGTTGGATTTTGCTGAAATTTTCAGAGGGTGTTCTCAACACATAGAGCTTCAACTTGTAAAAATTTCACGTCAATCGGAGTTACGGATCTTCTGTTATCAAAGTTACAATCTACACATTGTTACTAATTTTTTGCAAAAAACGCAGCCCTGGTTTTCTTGTTGGTTGGAGTACCAAATCTTGTCTGATCGTGCTGAACTTTTAGGAAGAGTCTAAGGACTCGTGGAGCTTCAATCTGAACGGTGGAGATCGAATTTCAACGGTTCAATCTCGAGTTATGAGCTTCTGAACATCCTGCATATTTTTGTAGATCAAGAAGAATCTTTATTTGAAGGTCGATTGGAATCTACGTCCTTGAAAAAGATCTTTGAGAAGGTGTAACAGGCCGTGGAGATAGACGCAAACCGAGTTTGTCGTCAAGTCATTCGTAAGTAGACAAATCAATACATTAGAAGGTTCTGTTGTGATTGATTGTGTAATTCTTACGGTGATTTAGTGGAAGTGCTATTACACGGACGTGGGCCTTGCAGACGTAGGAGAATTTGCTCCGAACTGCATGAACAATTCTGGTGTCTTGCTTGCTGTTTTTACTTCATATTTTCCGTGTGTGCTTGTGACAGAGAAGTGTTATAGCACACTGTCCGTCATATGTTACTGGACGGTGCTGCAGCGTCTTCTCTACAACATAGTTGATTGTTTTGTTTGCATAGCTTGTGTTTGCTGTTATCCACTGCACCCCCCACGAACTTACAATTGGTATCGGATCTTGGCAAGCTTAAGTTATTAGCTTGATCGATCTATCACCATGGGAGATATTCAAGAAGGTGATAATGTTTTTAGACCTCCATTATTATGCGGCCATGATTATACTTTTTGGAAGTGTCGAATGAGAGCCTTTCTCAAGTCTCTTGGTGGACAGGTTTGGAGAAGCATAGAGGTTGGATGGTCAGCTCCTACTATGACCAATGCAGATGGAGAACTAATTCAGAAACCTTATGAAAGATTAAGCAAGAAAGAGAAGGATGCTGCAGAATCGAATGATCAGGCTTTGAATGCAATCTTCGGAGCGGTTGTAGGAATCAGTTCCGTCTTATCTCAAATTGCACAGAGGCCAAGAGAGCTTGGGACATTTTTCTTATTACTCATGAAGGCACTACTACAGTCAAGACAACCAAACTTCAGATCGTGATGTCTAAAATTGAAAATCTTAAGATGGAGGATACTGAGTCTATCACAAATTTTCATGGGCGAGTTAGAGAGTTGGCAAATGAGGCTGAAAGGCTTGGTGAACCAATTACAGAAAACAAACTGGTGTTGAAAGTGCTACGGTCTCTTCCAGAAAAATACTCTATGGATGTTAAAGCTATTAGACAAACACAATCTCTCAATGTTATGTCTCTTGATGAACTGATGGGAAACTTAGAAACCATTGAGTTGGAGATGCATGAAGATCTACAACGTAAAAAGCAGCATGTCATCCTCGTTGAAAAAAAGAAGCAGTGTGTTAAAGACAGTGCTGAAACATGTTGTGCTTTTCCAACTTTCCATAGTGTTGACGGTGACTCTGATAGTGACGTAGATCCAAGGGAGATGCTTATAATTGTTGAAGAAAAATTTCAAGAGTCTCTACGGGTCAACAAGAAAAAATGTTTGGAAAATGATAGCCTCAAACGTGAACTTGCTGAATCAAAACGCGATGTGGAACAACTCATCAAAGAGTTACAGAGATACAAAGGTAAAGTTACAGCAGAGGATGANTGAAACATGCTGTGCTTTTCCAACTTTCCATAGTGTTGACGGTGACTCTGATAGTGACGTAGATCCAAGGGAGATGCTTATAATTGTTGAAGAAAAATTTCAAGAGTCTCTACGGGTCAACAAGAAAAAATGTTTGGAAAATGATAGCCTCAAACGTGAACTTGCTGAATCAAAACGCGATGTGGAACAACTCATCAAAGAGTTACAGAGATACAAAGGTAAAGTTACAGTAGAGGATGACACAGAGGATGATACAGAAGATGACACAGAGGTTGACACAGCAGAAGAGCTAGCTATTCTCCAAAGAAAGTGGGTAGAACTTGTTCAAGCCAACCAGAAAACTGTTCTGGAGAACCATCAGCTTGTTGCCGACCGCAATAGACTAAAGGAGAGTATTTCAGAACTAGAAAAGAAGATTGAATACTTAGAAGGGCAACAATCAGATCTCAAATATGAATTAAATCAACTCAAAAACTTTCACAAGTGGATGAGAAGTGCTGGAGCAAAAGCTATTGAGGAACAAGTGAACGTTTCAAAATTTTCTGGAGACAAGACGGGTCTCGGATTCTCAGGTTCCGAAAGAAATCAGACCCCACTGGACTTGTTTGTTGATCGAAGAAAGGAAATTGCTCAAAAAGTTCCACAAGGAAGGAAAACAGAAGCTGCTGTATCTGCTGGAACATCTTCTGCCAAACCCGCTGAAGCATCTCATGAAGCTTCTGCTGGAACAATTTATGCAGCACCCTATGCAAAAAGGCAAAGAGTTGTGACACAATCTAGTATGAGAAGACACAAGGATCATTATGCTAAACCTGAAAGGTATTCTTATACTAATGTTTATGCTAATTATGTTTGTTTTTGCTGTGGAAAAAGAGGACACATTCAAAGGAAATGCAAGATTTTTAAAGAGCAAAGATATAGGAAAAAGAATGTGACAACAAGGATGATTTGGGTAGCTAAGAATCAGTACAAAACAGGTGATAATCCTTGTGTGAAGGATGTTGCTTCTGATCAATGCCATGTTAGTAGTGCAAGCTTGCATCAAGAAGAAAAGAAAACAAATCGTTGTGCTGTTAAGAGTGCTGAATCATCTCATAAGTGTGATGAAGTGACACGTCCTAGTCATGAGAGTGAGAAGTTTATGACTATGAAAAAACGAGCATTGGGCATGTGTAAAAGAGCATTTGATGGGAATCGGTTTGGTATACTCAAATCCCGCTTGGGTCTATGCACACCCATCTCTACCTAATTTAGATGATGCTCTAAGAGGTGTTTCATCTCCAGCGTGGAATACCTTAGAGCATAGATGTTTTGCTGGTTGTATACATGTTTTTCTTGCAGATTGTTAATATTCATTATTGTAATGCTCAAGCTCGCTTGAATGTCACTCTTCTCTTTTTGCCCCAATATTCTTAATAAAATCTTTGGCATTTTTTATGCAAAAAAAAGGGGGAAAAGAGGTTCAAAACAGCTGAGATTTGTTTTTGTCAAAAAAATTGCCAAAAGGAGAGATTGTTAGTTCCATATTGTGTTGGCATTATTTTTTGACAAACGAATAGATTTATCTAGAATTATTTTAGATATTTTATTTAGACTTAGAGTCCTAGCATGTGAAGGAAGAAGAAGAGGAAAGAGCTTGAAGAGAGAATTCTAGTCCTACTTGGATTCTAATCCTACTTGGTTTACAATTCATAAGGAGGAGACCATGGTTGAGAATCCTAAGCACACTCTAACATGGCTATTCTATTCTATTAATATCTTCACCCTCCCTTAGAGTTTTGGACGGGCAAAACTACGAAAAACCAGGAGCAAATTCGATCAAAAGAAAAACACAAGGTGCAGATTTTGAGACTGTAAATTCTCTGGACAGCCCGCACAGATTTGATCATCGCCGGAGATCCGACCGTTGGATTTTGCTAAAATTTTCAGAGGGTGTTTTCAACACATAGAGCTTCAATGTGTTACAATTTCACGTCAATCGGAGTTACGGATCTTCTGTTATCAAAGTTACAATCTACACATTGTTACTGATTTTTTGCAGAAAACGGAGTCCTGGTTTTCTTGTTGGTTGGAGTACCAAATCTTGTCTGATCGTGCTGAAATTTTAGGAAGAGTCTAAGGACTCGTGGAGCTTCAATCTGAACGGTGGAGATCGAATTTCAACGGTTCAATCTCGAGTTATGAGCTTCTGAACATCCTGCATATTTTTGTAGATCAAGAAGAATCTTTATTTGAAGGTCGATTGGAATCTACGTCCTTGAAAAAGATCTTTGAGAAGGTGTAACAGGCCGTGGAGATAGACGCAAACCGAGTTTGTCGTCAAGTCATTCGTAAGTAGACAAATCAATACATTAGAAGGTTCTGTTGTGATTGATTGTGTAATTCTTACGGTGATTTAGTGGAAGGGCTATTACACGGACGTGGGCCTTGCAGACGTAGGAGAATTTGCTCCGAACTGAGTGAACAATTCTGGTGTCTTGCTTGCTGTTTTTACTTCATATTTTGCATGTGTGCTTGTGACAGAGAAGTGTTATAGCACACTGTCCGTCATATGTTACTGGACAGTGCTGCAGCGTCTTCTCTACAACATAGTTGATTGTTTTGTTTGCATAGCTTGTGTTTGCTGTTATCCACTGCACCCCCCACGAACTTACATATCTGTCCCTTGGACCCTGCCAAGGGCTGCCGCCACTTGGACCCCGCTACTAAGGGCCGCCACCTCTGGACTCCCGCTATGAATTTGTAATATCATTTTAGTATTCTTGACTGTAGAATTGTGTAAAACTTGCTTACCTTGTTTCAATAATCACAACGAGTATATATACAAGATACATGGGCTACAACTAAAGCTATTGGGCCAAGCCCGTACACTACAAAATATATACAAATAAATATTAGCTAATACTCCCCCTTAATTCAAGTTGGCGCATGAAGATCTCGAATGCCCAACTTGGATAAGAGGTAAGAGAACAAAAGGACGATTCAATGCTTTTGTAAACAAGTCCGCCAGTTGTAGTCGAGTGGGAACGTAGGCAGTTGTAATTTCACGATGCTGAATGCATTCAAGGACAATATGGCAATCAATATCAATATGCTTCATACGTTCATGGAACACCGGATTGGCAGCAATGAATAGAGCAAACTTATTATCACAGAACAAGCGCGGTGTAGTGGGTGGTGTCACACCGAGAGCCCCAAGGAGTCCCCTAATCCAGCGTACCTCCGAGCAGGCGTTGGCCATTGAGCGATATTCGGCCTCCGCGGTAGAGCGCGAAACTATGGTCTGTTTCTTTGTTTTCCACGAAATAGGAGACCCACCAAGGAGAATGAAGTAACCACTAACAGACCTCCGGGTGAGAGGACAAGAGGCCCAATCTGAATCACAATAAGAAGATAACTGTAAGGAACTTTCACTACAAAGGAGTATGCCCTGTCCCAGATGTCCCTTCAGATAGCGAAGAACCCGGCGTGCGGCATCTATATGATCAAGCTGGGGAGCATGCATAAACTGGGACAACACGCGGATCGAGTAAGAGAGATCCGGCGAGTAATAGTGAGATAAATGAGACGACGAATGAGATGTCGATACTGGGCCGAGTCCCGAAGTGCCGTGCTAGTGGACCGAGCCAAGCCGTGATTCGGCACAATGGGAGTATCGGTCGGCTTGCATCCCACCATACCAGCTTCGTGAAGAATATCCAAGGCATATTTTTTGTGACACAAGACTATCCCCTCCGCAGAGCGAGCACACTCAATGCCCAAGAAGTAAGATAAGGGTCCCAAATCTTTGAGCTGAAAGCACTGATGTAGATAAGCCTTAAAAGACGCACATAGGTGAACATTATTACCTGCAACCAAAATATCATCAACATAAACCAGGATGATCAAAATGTCAGGGCCGTGGCGATGAATGAATAAGGTATGATCAACATGAGCCTGTCAAAAACCATAACGACGAAGGGCACATGTCAGTTTAGCAAACCAATTCTGGGGTGACTGACGTAAGCCGTATAAAGACTTACGCAGGCGACACACCTTGCCCGGATGGCGTTGTGCATAATCAGGCGGTAGATGCATGTAAACCTCCTCGACCAGATCGCCATGAAGAAAAGCATTGTTGATGTCAAGCTGGTGGACTTGCCACCCCTTGGCAGCCGCGACGGCTAGGAGCACCCGAACAGATCCCATTTTGGCAACGGGAGCAAAAGTATCTGTATAATCTTCCCCCAATGTCTGGTGATTTCCAAGAACAACCAGTTGGGCTTTGTCACGCTCTTTTGTACCATTGGAGTTGATTTTTGTTTTGAAAACCCATTGACAACCTAAAGCTGTCCGGTTGGGAGGTAATACCGTGAGATCCCAAGTATGATTATTCTCCAATGCTTGAATTTCCTTGAGCATGGTGTCACGCCAATTGGAGTGGGCGGCCTCGGCATAATTCCTGGGAACAAAGTGGGAACTAATAGCTCGCAAAAAACCATGGTACCTGTCATGCAAGTTAGAATAAAAAACAAAGTTGACAATAGGATAACGTGTACGTGAAGACGAAGATCGAGTAGGAGAGGCGCACAACGAAGCATTAGATTGAACAGAATTAACGATATAGTCACTAAGATGGGAAGGCTGACAATGCTGCCGTTGAGGGCGAGGAGGAGGGACGGCGGCTGTATCGGTGGGAATGGCTGTGGCGCTGTCACCGGCGGGGTGGTCCTCGGGCTGGGATGACGGAGTGACTGCCGGGACAGTAGCTTCGGTCGGCTGGGCAGTAGGGACAGGGAGGGCCGACGGTAGGGCAGGGAAGTCGGCGTAGGGAGGTGAAATTGGGTTTTCGGTGGAGTTTGTGGGTGTGGTGAACGGGAATTGACTCTCGTTAAATGAGATATCCCGAGTATGAAAGAAGCGATGAGTATCAAGGTCGTATACGCGCCAGCCTTTAGTACCAGTGGGGTACCCAACAAACATGTATTTGGTGCTACGCGGATTTTTTTTTTGAAGTTGGTAGACGAACAAAGTATAGACACCCAAAGATACGCAAGTGACTAAGATCGGGTGCTTTCTTATTGAGAACTTCAAAAGGGGATTTACCACCGAGGATTTTGCTAGGGGTACGATTGATGAGGTAAACAACGGTACGGACGCACACCCCCATAATTCAATAGGTAGGCTGGCTTGAAACATTAAAGCACGAGCAATATTCAAGATATGACGATGTTTGCGTTCGACACGACCGTTTTGTTGGGGCTTGCCGACACAAGAGGTTTGAATAAGAACACCCATGGATAGATAAAAAGCACAAAGAGGGCAATTATCAAACTTAGTTCCATTGTCGGAACGAACAACTTTAATGGTTTTATGAAATTGGGTGTGGATGATGCTAAAAAATTGTTTAAGGAAACTAGTTACTTCGGATTTGTCAATAATCAAATAAGCCCAAACAGCACGAGAATGATCATCCACAATAGTAAGAAAATAATGTGCACCAGTAGCCAAACATGGGGTGTAAGGTCCCCACAAATCACAGTGAATTAAATCGAAAACACTAGTAGCTTTATTTGAACTGAGAGGAAAACTACTACGAGTTTGTTTAGACTGGAAACAAATTTCACAAGACTGTAATAATTTGAGTTTGGAACTACTGGGAACAGGGATAAGAGAAGAAAAAACTTGAGACGAAGGATGGCCCAAACGCTTGTGGAGAAGGATGGGATCCCCTTGACTAGCAAACGCCAGACTTGACGCACAAAACAGAGACACTCTGTTGTGAGCATTACCCTGTCCAATCTCCATCTTCGTGGCACAATCCCGTATAACACAATAATGTTTGTTAAAAATAACTAGACAAGAATTATCCCGAATAAGACATCTAACTAAAATGAGATTGCACTTGAGTTCCAGTACGAGTAACACATCCCGGAGAAGAACTTTCGGGGAGAGACGAACACGCCCGCAACGGGTAGCAGTAGTGTGGGATCCATTAGGCAAAGTAATAACACATGGCGTAATGGGAACAATATCAGACAAATATAAGATATTACCAGTCATATGATGAGAGGCACCGTTATCTATGAGCCACTCACGGTTGGAAGACTCACAAGTACTGGTACCCTTATCATAGGAAGAAGTGTCAAGCATGGATAGCAGGAGAGAGACTTGATCAGAAGTAAGGCCCAAAGGGCTGGTGTTCGGGGCGGACCCTCCCCCCTGCGGCATGTGCTCCCCCTATCGCCGTGCCTGCTCCTCGGCGGCTGACGAACTACCACCGGAAGACCCACGACCAAACCCTCGGTTTGAGCTACCGTCGCGACCAGAAACTCCCTCGCAGCCACGGCCCTTCATGGGTGGGTAGCCGTGCGATTGGTAGCAACGCTCCTTCGAGTGTCCATCTTTGCCGCAAAGAATACACGAGTAAATAGGAGGGTCCCCACGAGTCAGCGGTGCGTTAGGGCGCTGCATGGCAAAAGCCACGGTGTCGGTCTGATCATCCCTTCTGCAAACAATGTTTTTGTGGTGTTCTTCTAGAACAATCAACGCATAAGCCCGGTGAATGTCGAGGACGGGTTCGGTAGCTATGAGTTGGGACCGGATGTGACCAAATTGTTCATCGTCAAGACAAAGCAAAAAATGGTGAGTTTTCTCTTCTTCTTCTCGAGCTCGAATACGTACAGTCGCTTCACAACGAAAACTGCACGTGGGGTCAGCCGAGCCGTACAACTTGTTCCAAAGAGTCACAAATTGGTTGTAGTAAACCACCACGGTTTGACCCTTTTGCCGGAGAGATTGGAGTTCGAATTTGAGTTGATGAACACGAGGACCGTTCGACCCCCCATAGCAAGTTTTCAGATCTAACCACAACTCGTGAGCCCCTTTGTGAGAAATAATAGATAGTTGGATGTGTTCATCAACTCTATTGCATATCTAGGAACAAATAATAAAATTATTAGCCTTCCAAGTCGCGAGCTCCTGTTCGTTAGTAGGCTTGGGAAAACCCGTGGGGGTTAAGAAACCAGCCCGGCTACGTCCTTCTAATGCATTGACAATTGTTTTCTCTCATACATCATAGTTATCCCCTTTGAGTTAATGTTTTGTCAAAGAATTCCCTGCACTTTCGGATGGATGAATATAGTAAAGAGACGTGGGATCGTGGATCAACCTGACCTTCTTGGTTGCCTCAGTTGACATGGCTAGTGCGAGAGGGAGAGAGGGGCGGGTGTGTTGGACAGACGTGAACCGACGTGGGGCGGCTGTCGAAGAAGAACAATGGCGTGAGACGGTGTGTAGTGGCCGATGTGAGGCGGCGGTATGGAGTGGCCGACGAGAGTTGGCGGGAGATGGTGGCGGAACTGTAAAAAAACGGAACTAGGGTTTTTCGTTATGCCTGGGAATTAGCTCCGATATCATGTAGAATTGTGTAAAACTTACTTACCTTGTTTCAATAATCACAACGAGTACATATACAAGATACATGGGCTACAACTAAAGCTATTGGGCCAAGCCCGTACACTACAAAATATATACAAATAAATATGTAGCTAATATTGACACATACGAAAAACAAAATACTGGAAATTTTTACGGAAATGAATTGATGCTTTTTATTATGACTTTTTTCCCTCATTATTTTAAAATAGTAAATTTTTTCTAACAAAAAAATAGAATTTTTTTTTGAAATAAACGTAACTCAAACTCTTGTTAGTGTATTTGGCTTATCTAAATCATTTATTTTAGATAAATAGATTAAAAAATTAAATCATGTTAAAACAGTTGTATCTAATGCAAAATTAACATTTTAGTCTGAATCGTTTTTGTAATTATTTTAATATATAAAATGTGATGTAAGATTATTTTCTTTTGGTTGAGACATCGTTTTATTATATAAGTCCAAATTTTATTTCAAGTAAGATTAATAAAAAGTTTTGCTTTATTTGTCTTCTTACTTTTGTTACATGGCTTAGTAACATACAACTGAGAAGACCGTAAGATTATATGATCTTTATTGATTTTAAAAGGTAAAAAAAGAGTGTGAGTCACACAAAAATTAAGAAAATACGATTTGGGATAAAATATAATGGCATAAACAAAAGTACAAAGTGATTAAAAATTAAAAAAGTAGAGTATACCTTTTTAAATAAAATACGGAGTATGAAATTTATAAGATAAAATAATTATTTTAACATTTTTTATATTATTTAAACTCTTCCAAAAAGTTTCCAACTCCTTTTAGTTTCTTCGAACTTCTTTCAATTTCTTCTAGTTTTTTCTAACTCTTAATCTTTTCCAATTCTTTTCATTTTCTTCCTACTTTTTCCAACTCGTTCCATTTTCTTTAATTTCAACATCCAACTCTGTTTTTCAACCGTAAAAATAGAGCCTAAATGTTTAAAAGGCCAAGTGACTTAGCTTTAGTGTGCCTAGGAAAAAGAGGCTATGACACATTTATAACATGACTAGCTCGGTATGCACATGTATTGATGTTTTCTGCAACCAAAAGTATGGGAATTTGTTGAATGTTGAGTAAAGGGTATGTAACCAAAAGGGTTTAGACTTAGGAGAAACCAGGGCCCTGTATTACAGCGGAAGGAGTTAGAGACTTACAGCCAAAACATATAGTGCAGGAGTACTTCTCGTATTGTTGTCCTTGGTCTATCTCCGCAAAAAAAAAAACAAAACAAAAATCCCATTCTCCTCTCTTTATCTAAGTGAAATTTACACTAAATAGTACTAAAACATATATATTTTTCCAATGTAGTACTTAAACTTTTGTATTCCCTAAATACCACTTGAATAATGTCTAGTAGTAGGAACAATGTCTGGTAATGGTGGACATTTAATTTGAACCATGTCCAGCGGTGAACATTTTACTTGAACAATGACCAGTGGACATTGAAGAGTGGTACCAAATTGAGAAATAAAAACATATGATATTACAGAACTATTTAAATAAATTCTCCTTTATCTAATAGTTCAACCACCAAACAAGACACATCTAGAGGGACCCGAGTGTTCAAGGTTACTTTCAGACTTTGTTTGGCCAAAACCGCCTTTTGATTTTGACATAAAGATATTGTTCCTTTTAACTTATTCTTATTGAAATCAAATCAACTTTAAATATAACTACAATTAAATAAGATCATAACTTATTCAAATAAGATGAGGTGAGTCTACCAATATGGCCAAGCCTACGCTTTAAGCCTCTAGCATTCCTCTTCCTACCCCCAATATACTTGCTCGGACTGAACTTGTTGCAAAGACTATAAGTTGACCTGTTTTGGTGGGTGAGAGCTTTTCTTGGTCCAATCTCTTCTTCTTAGTCAAGGCGTCAAGGCTATATAGTCTTACTAGGACATCCTGGGTCAAGGCTATATAGTCTTAGCCTCTTCGGCCCTTTCGAGCTCTTATTATGACTTTAAAAAAAATTGGCATGAAGCATACCGTAAAGAAAATGTGTAGTACTAAAATGGAACATATCAAATAATTTCTAATGCAAGTGGATTTGGTAAAGGGAAGTCTTGTTTGACTGAGAAGAGCCCCCTTTTGCACACATTGAGATGGTCATCATATGTGACAACATTACATTGTATCCATTCATGTTACGCTACCTCTCATCAACTTCCTTAAAAACTAACTGCGTCGCGTAAAGTATCTTCTCCACAGGTAGATAATAATTCTCCATATCTCTCGATAGAAGACCTCGTGATCTTCATTCATTTTGGCTGTCAAGCTTGAATTTGTTTGTCCACCGCGGCATTTATTGGAACTTTGTTACTCTATAGAAATGTCCATGCAGTGATTAGTACTATAAGACTATAATAAGATAGCGGTCTAAAATCCCTAGCTATGGAGCAAAAACATTATCCAAGAAATTAAATCTGATTTTTACAAGCTCTCTGACAATAATAATGAGGCACAAACGTACAGGACATACGTGCTCAGTGGCTCCAACTTCAGTCCCTATGGCTGCAGCCTGCAAGCCATCTACAAAGTGCTGAAGCTGATAAAGCTCTGTGACATATACATCAAAACCCATCACTCCCCCGAAAGAACTATAGAAGCTATAATGAATAATACTTACTCCCTCTGTTTCATATATAAAGAGTCATGTATTAATACTTTTTGTCTAAAAAACCGCTCCCTTTAATCAATAGAAACTAGTTATCTTCATATTCAACGTTTTTAATGTATAAAAAAAGTGTCCCAAATACGTTTAGTTTGTTAAATTTAATTAAACCAAAAATAATTTTATAAATATAGATTGAAACTCCTTTATGCCATTTATGGGGCGAGGAAGTCTTCCCATTCCAAAGTTGTTCACAATTTTGCACTCGTACCTGATCGTTGTCACATGGGGTCGGATAAAGTGCCTGAATGGTCTCGAGAATCTATTCACGTAAGACATGTATAGCTCACAATGTGAAGATAAAATGTGGGCAGGTCTAGAATTCACAGCTCAGCTTACTCCCTTGGGCTTTTTGTAGAAAGTTGGCCTAGTTTATATTTCTTCTATCTTCGACCCTCTCTTTTCAGCTTCAGATTGTCCTAAATAATCAACAAAACAAAAGTAACTTGTGTTCTTTTTTCCAAGGAAAGGTAGAGAGGTGCCCAATAAGTGAGTGTGACTTACCGTCAGTTTCAACACATCAAGAGACTGGATGCCATGGGGAAGGCATGATTTATGCAAGTTCTTTACAAATTGATGTTCTAATAACATGCTAGCAGTTGGCCTCTCAGCTGGGTTTCTGCGGAAACAACACTGCAAGAAATCTTTCCCTTTGGGCGATAGTGAATCAGGTATTGGTGGTGATTCCCTTAGGACCTTGAACATGGCTGCAGGCTATATGTTACATGGAATAAAGAGGAATAATTAATGAGACTTTTCGAGTGTTACAATTTATCCAGCACATGGAAGAAGGAAGGGCTTATATTGCACTTACTCCTTCATACTCACTCCAAGGTGGTTTCCTATTCATCATTTCGATTATAGTACAACCCAAACTCCATATATCAACAGCTAAAGCATGGTCAGACTCAGAGTCTTGTATATCTGATTGCAAGAGCTGCATGCAGTAAAAGATATTAGTGTTCATTAGCCAATAATGTGCTTGGGAGAATGTTGTAGGGGGAAATACAAACTTCACCCGCCAACTACCAGTGAGAGCAAATGGTCCACAGGATAGTATTCTCTTAATTATTCCAATTATAACAAAAAAATCATCTATTATTGTCTTTTTTTGCCAGAGTTCGCAAAACTTGGCAAAAAGTCATGTGACTGGCATGTTGGGCTGTATTGAGAAAAAATATGGGAAAATTTGAGTTGCACAGGGTCTCAGTTATGGTACTAAATTCGTATTTCTTCCCAAGGTTATAGTGTTATACCAAGAGTAATAAGAAAAAGAAAAAAAAAACGATCACATACCTCAGGCGCCATCCAATATGGACTTCCCTTCAAAGAAAGATGTCCTGCCTGTCCAGAGAGCTGAACAACAAGAGCCTAGGTCATCAATCAAATATAATATAGCATAAAAGCCTGCCAGTAATGCTTAGCCATTCAAATACTGAAGCATTAGCTTCTTGGCTTCCACTCTTCAATATTCGGGCATTGGAAACTTACATGCTTAGACATCCCAAAGTCAGCAAGCTTGACAACACCATATGCATCCACGAGCAAATTAGCACCTTTAATGTCCCTATGGAAATTCAAACATGTCAGATTTAGTACGCCACAAATGATGTTATAGACGGAGTATCAGTTTTATTAGCATAGCTTGGGGCCGCGACGCACCACACTACAGAAGGGAAAGAGCCTCAGGAATTGACAAACATAAATGCAAAAGCTTTGACAAAAGTCAGAACGACCAAATTGTGATTTTATGTCAGTAAATATGGTGTCATTTTAATGCAAAAAATTTGTCAGAACGACCAAATTGGTCTTCAAACTTGGGCAGAAAAGTTTTTAAAGGTATCAAATAACTCAAGTGACTCTTTCATTAAAAATCACCACGTGAATTCAAAAAATGATCAATGAATATGACAAAAATGACAAAACCCTATATCCAACAAATTATGGTCCTCAGACATCTGTATGGACTAGACCAATTCGGAACTAAGCATGGTTATTAATTCTTTGTGAAAAGGACAAATGATGTTATGTACCAAAGTGACATGACCCATAATCCCCACTCTGTGGGATTTTACAAGGTTGTAGTTGTTGATACGACTCAGAATCTAGTGATAAAACGTTTGAGCAACTTAGGACCAAGTGCCAAAGTTTGGAAAGACAATAGCAGCAGAGTAAGTTTTATGAAAGGTAATTGCTGACTTGGAAGACACAAACAACTAGATCACAAGGATAAAGGAAAAGATTCCCAACCAATGCCAAACATATTCCTATCGACTATATTTTCCAAAAGACAAAATTAAACGGGCAATAAGAAAGATTCGAGGCATCATCCAATGGTAAGGATGATTGTGGATTTGTGGGAGAGCATGTCTTAGACCAGTTGCTGGTGTTTAAGAACCACTGGCAGGAACAATTAAAGATAAACCTTAAGTTTGGACATATTTGATAAAGGATAGGAAATATGCAAGACATCAATAAAAGCACACGAATAAAGGAACTACAAGTAGAAGTATTGCAGATATGGGATGTCGATGCATTAAAGCTATAGTATTCCTTATATTAAGCATTTGAAATAAAAAAATGGAGATGGTGGATAAAAATAACACTTGGTACTATTCCTTAATCCTAAGTTTTACCAATTCTATGATAAAAATAACACTTGGTACTATTCTGGTGTTAACTTTCACAAGTAGAGGAACTAGAGAGTAGAGACAATTAGTATTAGATAGAATGTCCTAACAAAGATACTCGCGAAGACACCAGAATAAGGAACGAGTGCAAATATGGAGGCAGTATTGTGACGTTGACAATGAATGTCCAGATCGTTGTAGACCTGCGAAAACCAGCATGTGTAGGTGGGTCTACACAGTTGTGTCGGGAACTCCGGATTTAGTGGTACGCTCAGATTGTATGGATCACTACCAGACTACCAGAGAATAACACTTGTCCAAAAATGCCAATGCTCATGCCAAAAAGTCAACTATTCATATATACTATATGAATATTTAATTAATAATACTTTTATCCCTTACATTCAGATCTGTGCACGAAGCCAAATAGATATGGAAATACAATGACATCTTGAAGATGCAAGAGATTACATCAGCAAGATATAGTCATCGCAGAAATAAGTAAAACGCTAGTCTACAGTCTAAATATATTGCATTTTTCTACATATAAAATTATATACTACTCCACCCATAACGGAAATAATCTTACTAAAAATAGTAATACACTTCTTTTACTTTTTCCTGGCATTCCAGACCTTTCCGTATTACCTGTGTATGGTTTTCGTTCCATGCAAGTAAGCCAACCCACAAAGGATATGACGGGTGAAATTACGAACCACAGATTCTGTAATTGCTCCACAATGATCATGGATGAACTTAGTGATAGAACCGGGATGGACATATTCAAGATATATGTAAAACTTGTCACCAACCTAAAACAGTACAATCAATTGTGATGTTAACAACAAATGCTGGCAAACACAAAATACAGAGTATATGGCAAAAAATCAGTCACTCACTATTTCACTTCCGAAATATTGTACAATGTTTGGATGCTTGAGATTGCTAAGAACTTTAATTTCCTGCACAAATAGATTAGAATAAGCAATGAAAAAACATAACACATATTTCACTGTAATTTGGGATAAAAACATTAACAGTTCCTCAAAAAAATTAAAAGAATATCATTTCCCACTCCACAATCTTCCAGGAGCATGGCTCCAAGTGATTCCGTATAATCACTTGTTTAATCTTTGTAGGAGTTGCTATTTTTAAATATTGGTAATAGAGAGCAAAGAACAACCTGTTGTAATTGCTTCATGCACTCAGAGGATTTGGGGTCATCCGGTAGTATTTCAACTTCTTTCATAGCACATAAAGCTCAAGTTTCTCTTTTATGAAAAGTGAAAAAGGATTCAATGCTTTGTTTAAATAAAAAAGGTTGCACATACGTATTTACTTGAAACCTGGTGTACCTGTTGGAAGCTACATATACACTTCCAAATGTCCCGCGACCAATTAGCTTTCCTTTTTGCCACTGGCCTTTGATGGGAACTAATTCCAATTTAGGAGTCGCGGGCACTGGAGTAGGTTGTGATGGTGTAGCAGCGGATGGAGGACGAGGCAAGGGGTGGACATTGCTCTGAGAACTATTATTACTATCACGGCGTATGATTGAGGCCTCATTTGGAAACATATTAGGCAAAGGGGAAGTCGGACGAGTTGGACTTCTCATGCTCAGTGTAGGACTTAATCTCGGACTTTGGTGGGGAGAACTATCATCAACACTAAATGCAGGTTTCTCTTGCGAAAGCTGATAAGGGAAACCAACACCGAAGGTATGATCTGCTGCGGATTGACGCATCTCTGGCGCAGACCAAACTTGGAAAATACTATGTTGGGGAATAAAGTTGGTACTCAAATGTTCCCCCACACAATTCAAGGGGCTAAGCGCTGGACTTGCATAAGGACTTGTTGGAGCACTACTAGGTGGAGGAATTCTCAAGTCAGTGAATCTTCTTGCTCCCTTAGGCTCACGATGAGACTTCCTCCTACACAGGCTTTCAAGATGTCCCGTGTTCTTTCTGGCCGCTTCGCTAAGAAACCTAAGAAAATCACACCAAAAAAGCAAAGAACTTGCTTTGAATCTAATTCATCAATACCACATTACACACCATCATTTTACTCTTAACTACTATAATAATATCATATCAAAACAAGAAGTACGATTTGCCAAAAAATTCCTATTTATAATGACAATAGCAATCGATCAAAATTCAAAAGTAGGAATAATTTAAAGAGGAGATTTTTTTTTAAAAAAAAAAAAAGAAGGAAATGACTAAATTTACCTCTGAAGTGAGAGAGCCTCATCTCTATGCCCATCATTATTGGGAGAAGGGTTAGAATCGGCTTTCTCTCTTATAACATCTCTGTCTTTGGGATTGAAATGCAAATTCTTTGGGGAAGGCAGAGGGATGCTACAAGAAATAGAGATGGAATCAGGTACAGGGAGAGGCAGGGGAGACGGCTGAGCCACAGAGGAAGACGTGCGGGCCCGCCAATTCTCACAGGAGCTTTCCCTGCTCGGGATACAAGCATCTATATCCTGGCAAACGACATGGTGGCAATTCGCTCCGCCATCAGAGGGGCGGCCGCGGCTGCGGCTACGGCTGCGGCCTAACAAGAAAGCCCATTTTAGGGTTTGCTTTCCACCGCTGGCCACGATCAAACTATCGTCGGCATGTACCTTGGCGGAAGAGGACGGCGAAGATGACGTGGCGGAAGAGATGAATGCGCTTCGCCACCAATGCATTGCCTGAGATTCGCCTAATTCTGGCATGCATGGCTCGATCGGAGAGCCGGAGAACAAGGCGGATGAACACAGTCGCCGTAGGTTGCTGAGTTTTCCCGGAAAATGGTACTATACAATTGTAAAAGCAACGAGCAAGCAACCTACGACGGCGAGGCAATTCCGCCGGAGCGGGGAAGAGAACTTGTCCCCCACCCTTCCTGGGGTCAAAATACCTCTCTTCTGCTATGCCTATTTTCAGAACCTTCCATATTTTGTGCAAATCAAGCTTAACATGGGGATGGGGCGTTGGGCTATACGTACAGGTTTGGATGGTCTTTGAAATGGATTTCCTCTTGCTTCCCACGTATAATACTTGGGGCGGTTGGGTGACATGAACCCTATGTCATCTTATCATATGCTCCCGATTAGGACATCTACCAGTTCAAAAAATGAATGGTTTTTACACCTTACCTCTTTCGTACCCCGTCAATTACATGCCACGTTCTTACCCCAGTCCGAACATACTTTCGTACCCCGTCAATTGCATGCCATAAGATTTAATTGACTTTGGAGTTAAAATTTGACTCCAAAATCAACTAAATCTTGTGACATGCAATTGATGGGGGTGCGGGGTATGTTCGGGCCGAGCCGGGGTGGAGGTTTACCGAGAGTAGGAGCCATCAATTTTTCAAAAGGAGTATCGTATGAATCTCAGGTCATCCAATGACATTAAATCTCAATGTCATGGGAACCAAGATGGTAATACTTTGCGCTCTCTTGTTTGTCTAATTTTTGGTGTTTTGAAAAAAAAAATGAGCCCTCATCCCCGAGGGCCCCTCAAACCCGATTGTACGGTTACTGAGAAAAGGTAAATTATATTTTAATCACAGATTGGTGGTAGATGGTAGATCCTGCACTTGGTATTTACAGAGTTGCCTCTCAACGCAGTTGTCAAGAATCAAACTCGGGTCTACCCGTGGTGTTTTGAACTTGGGAAACAACTTTCTACGAGTGCATTTTTTTAAGAATAATGATAAATATCCACCGCCCTTATCTCCATTTATAAATTTTTTAATTCCTAAATTTCTAAGAGTTATGCTAGAAAACTATTAGAGCACTGGAAATACTCATGAAGTCTCGGGGCTTCAAAATTTCTCTTTCTGCCACGTCAGTTTTAACTTAGCTTACAGATTCAGTGGAAATGGGTTTGAAGCCCCGGGGCTTCAAACCTTTATTTTTTACATTTTTAAATTTACATCTTCTAAACTTAAATTAATAAATTTTAATTAAATTATTATTTAAATTAATCGAAAGGATACTAGTGCATTAAAAAATTACATTCATTAAAAAAAATATTACATTCATAAAAAAAAATTACATTCATTAAAAAAATATTACATTCATAAAAAAACAACACTATAAAGAAATAACTAATTATTCGAGCGACTGAAGATATGTTTGATCAAATCCGCCGTTAGTGCATTGTGAATCTCTCAGCTTCAAATTTCTTGGTGGTTTCTTCGTTTCTTTTATTCTTCGATTTCTTCGTACATAGCACCTCCTCGTCCGGGTTGTATTGACAAATCGCAAACCTGTTGTCCTCTACGATCATATTATGAAGAATAATACATGCGTACATGATATTCCTCATTTTTGTTTGAGAAAAACATTTCGACAGACGATCTAGAATGTGCCATTTCATCGGGAGGATTCGGCTTCTTCTTCTTCGCCTTGTTCCCACCATTGAACGTAACTCGTGGCGAAACAACAAAAAATGAGAGCTCTTTTTTCATCATCGGATGAAGATGATCCCATTTTAAAAATATATTTTATAAATATTTATAATAAATAATCAAATATTTGAAAGATTGATAGAATTGTAGGGAGAGAAGATAGTGAGAGATGTGTGAGAGATAGGTTTGTTTTGAGGGGAATTTATAGGTTTATTTTTTGAATTTAGAATTTTTTTGGGTTAACGGCTATAATAGCCATTTTTGCTATTGGGGGAAGGGAAGAAAGCATCAAACCTTTGACACTGAACCGATGACGCCAGCTTGAAGCCCTTGGGGGCGGTGTTTAACGCCCCCGAGCGTTAAAAGGGGGGATGACGCCGGTGGGCGTCACACCCATTACCATTGGCCTTACATTTAACATTACGAATGACAATCATCTATAAATTGTACGCACATGATAACTGTTTGTAAACATATGGAGTTTATAGACGATTGTCGCATGTGTTTTTTCTTTCTTCTTTAATCTTCTCCTTCTTATTCAAGCACATGATATTTCTATTTTTAACAATTAACTTCTGGTTCAACCTACGTCCTCTTCAGTGGCTCAACCCCCATTCAAGGTATTTGTCAATTTTGTTTTTAAATTTTCTACATACAAATTAAGGTTTTCTTGAAGTGATTGTTATTTGGATTATGCATTTTTTCTTGCGTGTGAGAATGAATGAAGAAGGCTCCATAAAATTCAATTTGGGGATGTAACAACATGAAATTTGGTCTAGTCGAATTACTTAGTTGAATCAGCTAATAAGTTTGGATTAGAAAAAGAGTAAAAATAATGGTCAAATAAATAGGTCTCAAATTTTAATATGTTCTAGAGCTGGAGTATTTGATTCCAAAAATTCAAATGAATATGGAAACAGATGGTGTTTGCTTAAAAACTAGATATTAAACTAAGTACGTAAATGAATTCCTAGAGGATAATATTAACTTTTAATTTCTACATAAGAATGACACAAGGTGTGGTGAAGACGATGGTGTGGGCCGGCATGAGGAAACGGACAACGGGTTTGTGCCACGCCGCTCAGGGCATGTGGTCAAAGATCCGACTCGACTTAAGGATTATGTTTGACTCCTTTTATTCTTTATTACTCTCTTCGTCCTAAAATTTTCTCACATGTTGATTTGCCACTGAGATTAAGAAAAATTAAAAAGTAAGTATGTTTATCCTTGATGTAATGGAATAAAGTAAATAGTATAGATAAAAAGTAAGAGCACAATTACACAATCATTAAAAGTTTTTTTCCAAAATAGGAAACGGGTCGAAAAGGAAAGTGAGAAAGAAATTAATGAACGGAGGGAGTATTATTCATTATTTTATTTTAGATTTTTATCAGGTGAGCGGGTTATAAGCTCCTCCGAGAATTTCTTTTCGATTTTTTACCTTGATGTTTATCTTGAACCGACTAGGTTAGGGTTTCTTGTTATAAATATGGATGTTATTATTTAAAAGAAATAACAAGAAAATAGTTTAGATTCTATTTTAAACCCTACAACCTTTCCACCTCATCTGCCACACGTCTTCCCCCTCCCTTTCTAGCCTTTATTTTCTCTTACGAGTGACTCCCGTAACAACGGGTGCTCTTGTTCTCTCAAACTCACTGTTAATGGCAGAGGATATAGGTGCAATTCGATTGCCAACAAAGAATTAAGCCTGAGGACGTCCTTGCTGCAATTCGTCATATCGTGCTCGAAGTAAGTACCACATGCCAGGAATGTTGTGAAGTTTCTCAATGTTTCAACTAGGTTTATTCTATTTTCGAATTTAAACATTGGGAGAATAGTCTGGCCCAAGGGATATTGGGTGCTCCGTCGTTGCTTCCCTATCGGCCTGGCACGCCACATCCGTTTTAGGATCACAAAGACGAAACTATGTCCCATGATTCGCATATGTTAAACGTACGTATCGATGCACCAAAGTTTAACAAGACAGATCCGGCGGGATGGGTCTTCAAAGTTCGATATTAATTTGATTACTTCCAAACGCTATAGGAGACAAGGTTATTGTAACACTCCAACCTGCATAACCAGAATACATGGGTCGGCAAACCAGGTTGCTACTAAATTAGTATCCAAACACAATAAATTTCAAAACATTTAATTCAAAACCTTATTTATAAATCTATCAAAGTAATATAAAACATTACGAAAGCTTAACTACTTAGATCAAAATACAACTCTGGGTTCTCTACCCGAAAACATATTAAATTCAATATAATATTAATTTAAGTAAACTCCATCAGCCAGCATCCATCCATCTCTTCATCCTCGCCGCCCTCCAGGATAGTTTCCTTATTCCTCATTGATGTCACCTACATGTAGCAAGTAAGACAAACTACACGCTCAGCTTTCACGCTGAGTGAGAGGCTCTAACAACAAAAGTGACACATATGGTTATTTGAACATACATAATCACTCATAGGACTCCATGCACAAGTAGTATCACATAAATTTATTAAAGAATATCAACAATATCATATCAATCACACATAATGTAACTTACCTTGATTATTTGGTTGCATTAGTTATCAACTCAACACCCTTATCCTTATTAAGTTAATCTCTAACGCTCGATTATAACCTATTCTAGGCTAAGTTTATTTTAGTTAACAGACACAGACACAACACATTACAATACAACACGACTTTACCAACGAAAGAGTTCTCCACTGGGTGGGTGCAGTGGTACCCCTCTCTCTTTCAAAACGACAATTTGTGGATCGCATACGTACATTTTAACATGCAACCATCAGATATCAGATCCCCAAGGTTGATTCTACGTATTGACATTTACACATACAATCACACTAGGCAGTCCTAGAGTTTCTCTCGGTAGCCTAATCATTTATTTACAACATCTCTTCATATTTAGGATTATACCAACAACAATCTTGCTTCACGATATTTGTTCAAGGCATATCAAGATTACATTCAATCATAACAAAAAAGATAACAATAATTAGATAAATCCTCATATGGTACAAATATCGGCTTAGTGTAGGGTGTAAAGACCTTCCACTTACCATCACGCAACACACAAGGTCTCGGAGCCAATCCGGCATTCTGCTGCTGTCACGGTACCTTGGTACCATCGGCCCAGTACCCACCCACCATCAGGCGCAGGTACCAGCAAAGAATTTTGCTCCGTGGCGGTAGCCGGGTACTGTGAGACGGTACTTAGCTACCGTCTGAGTCAGAAATTGCAGCAAAGAACAGAGTACAATCCCATGCCTAACTAAAATCACTACAAAATATTTATCAAGACTACTAATGCACAATCCACAACAAAATAGAGTAGTAGAACGTACCTGGTCCTTCGCTCATCAACCAATCAATTTCAATAATATTATATTTTAAATAAATCATAATCAACAATCATAATCAAATAAATCACATAAACTAATCTACGGTTGGCTATGCATACGAATTAACACTATCTATGATTTCTACGCTAGAACAAACCCACGAACTCGCCTCAACAAAAGTAGAGGACAATCAAACAAATTGATTCGATTGGTGAATAAATATGATTAGCAACGACGCACAGTGAACAACGTCAGTAACCCTCCACCTCATCTCCATCTCTCTCGCGATCCCAATTCATCTGTGTGGCCTCCTTCTTCGCAGTGTATACAGTGTATATATATACTCTGTATTTACGATGGGCTGGGGTTTGGGTTATACGACAAAATTAAGTTTGTTTAATTATATTATTATTATTATTATTATTATTATTATAAAAATCCTTATATTTATTTATTGAACTGTAACATCTATTTTACGCGCATCTTTTTACATACAAGTCCAAACTTAACAAATTATGCACCATAAGTCACCTTTTCACGAGATCTAGTAAACGTCCCAATTTTTGAATAAAAAGTTGACTTTATAAATTGTTTATATTTTTGAGTCAGAAAAAAAAAATAAAATATTATATTTAGTTTTATCAAAATATTGGCTAACTACTAAGCCGGTTGTCAAGACGTTACATTTTTCTCCCCCTTAAAAGAAATTTCATCCCCGAAATTCTTCTAAGGTAGAAGGTGAATTAAAACATGTTTACAGAAAACTTGATTCAACATTTTTTTTGTGTTTGTTTAAACATTAGCAAAACGCATTTTTTTGTTCTGTTTGCACATGATTCCTTATTACACATTCTCATCTTTTTCTCAATCATAACAAATAATTTCTAAATTTGTTTTATGTGATTGCCTCTTAATTGGTTTTACAAAAAGAATATTTTATTTGACATTTGATAAATACATCATAACATTCGAACTTCGAAATCTTTATATATAAAATTTGAGAGTTGAACTCTTAGAATCGTGACATTTGGCATGTTGACTAGAACATTTTTTAACACCTCATGAGCCATGTCATCATTGAGTCACCTCTATAATTTTTCTTTTTCTAGATGACTTTAAGGCTTTAGTTTATTTTTAATTTATTTTGAGGGAGAGTATTTAATTTTTCGTAGAAGTCTCATGCTCTTCTTCTGTGCAAGTCTCTGTCTCTTCTTCTACATAATTGACCAAAGCTTTCACCAATGATCGCAACTTTCCATCTTCGGAGATATTCAGCCATCTTCTTTTGCATATACGGTAAGCTTTCTTATTCGATATTAATTTTGCCACTGACACAAATTTAACAATATTTTCAAAATATTATTAGAGAATAATAGCTTTAAAATGGAAAATACTAATTTTTAAATGAAGCATATTTAATAAATATGAAAAATTATTAATGCTCTATTAAATAAATATTCCAATAAAAGTTCTTTCTTTTCATATATTGGTTATTATTTTTACGACATTGGTAACTCATGCTATAAATATTAGTTTATATAAAGATTAATGATGATGATAATGATAATAATAATAATAACAATAATATTAATAACAATAATCTTATAATTAGTATTACTATTATGTTAATTAATGAATTATTATTATTATTATTATTATTATTATTATTAGTATTATTATTATTATAGTTATCGTAATTTTGATTATTATGACTATGGTTATTATTATTATTCAACATCGTTTAGGGACCAACTTTTAATAATCATTTGCTTATTTTTCTGTAGTCAAATTTTTAGCGAGTTTTCTTTTTACATACATTCTAATGCACGTAAAGAGGCATTGTAGACCAAAGCTTTAACTTTCAAAAAGGTATCATGTATAAAAGTAAAGAAATATATTTATAACGCATGCCTAAAAGAAGGATGAAAAGTTGTTTTTCTCCAAAAAATAAATATTAGTACAATATTTTGTTTATGATAGAAATCATATACAGATGGAGATATCATCGTCGGCTATAGCCTCGCATAATTGAACCTATGCCAAAAGGAATGTACTCTATAATGTGACACATGGTAATTTATAAAGTTCCAATTAATACATATATTGAAACAATTCTACACTCACTTCATCACGCTTTCAATTGCATAAGACACATAAGAGAATTGATTTATCTTCAATAACATGTGCCATTACTTTTTATGAAGGTAATCATATGACAAATTTCTTTGTATTAACTAATCATACGTCTATGATAGTATAATCAATGTACTCATATACTACCTGACTCAATATGGTGGATCATAAACTACATATATTTTAAATTTAAATTTCGAGGTAGAAGGTTAGTCTACTCAAGATACATCAGCGGAATCAATTTTAGATAATCTTGCATTTGGAGAAACTGAAATTAAAGATATGTTTACATTATATATACAACATGTAATTTGTGTAAAATGCTAAAGATTTCTAAAAGATTGTCAATATCCTATTTTATTATTCCTATAGGTATCATTGATTTTGGAAATCCCACATTCAAATGTGAATACTATGGAGCTTTGTTGTGTTTTAAAGAAAGAGCCAAAAAAATAAAGATTCAAAAAATCCCGAGTTTTCAATTATTGTTGTATATAAGGAAAAGTTGAAGTGCCTCTGCTAAAGAAACTTCTAAATTTGCTGTATAATTTATTTAATGAAATTGATGTGAGGAGTTCTCATTTTTAAAAAAATTTTAAAAAGTATAACAATATGTTTTTGTTCACGTATATGGATGGAAATATTGATACTGTAACGCCATGAAACCCAGCCTATCAGAATTAATTAATTAAAATAGTTAATTAATTACTAAGATGGACCCGGTGGAAATTATGATATATTCTTCGTTTAACAATAGGGTTTATACCATTGTGTAGGATTCGACAGATCGAATCCAACGGTGAAATTAGATTTGGATTTGGAGCCCGTGGGCCCGAAAAGTGTATTTGGGCAAGGTACGTTAAGTTAATACGGAGCCCAAAACTCCAAAAGTATAAATATATGCCTTGCACGCCCAAAACCCTCAGTCCTCCAATATTATTATTACGTAACTCCCTACCCTCTCTCTCGCCTCTTTAGGTCGAAGAACAGCAGCAGTGCCGACGAGGAACCAGCGGGAAAAGAGAAGAAGAAAAGAAAGAAGAAGGAAGAAAAATCCGTCGTCCGGTTCTACGTCGCTAACACTATTCGGTAATCCTGAATCATCGAATTCAAGGTGAGTATGTGGACATCTAACATATGGTTATAATCATAGGTTTGAATCTTATGTTCGTAGAATCGTTTCGGTTTATTTATTTGGATTTTACGTGGAATAAGCCTTGTTTATGTCGTTTATGATTTGAAAAGCATGATTGGGTTTAGAATGGTTTAAGGGAATGTTAGTTAATGTTTGGGTAGTGATTTAGAACATGTTGATGCCTAAAAAACCCATACCTATGGCATTGTAGGTTAGGCCATATAAACGAGAAACGCATATCCAAGCTACATCAATCGGGAATGCTGGAGTAATTTGATCTTGAATCATATGACACATGTGAATTGTTGGGGACTTGTCGTGCGGTCCAAAACAAATTAAAAATTTATAAAATATCCTTAGCTAACCCCCAATATAATCAAATAAAAACTATAGCTAGGGCAAGTAAGGGTCGATCCCACGGAGAAAGTTTGTACTTTTTAAAACTAATTTAGTATGCAAACACGTTGTCACTAAATAAAATAAAAAAAACTACTAAACATATGATAAGACGTATAAAACTTATAATAAAACTTATAACTATAACTTATATAAACAAAGAACTTATAATATAACTGAAACACAACACAAGGGGGGGGGGGGGTTGAATAAAAAGTAAATATTTTTTGTTTTTATATTTTTCTTATTTTTTTGGTTTTTTGATAAAATGGGGGAAACAATCTCAAAAGATAATCAACTTTTCCAACTTAGGTAACCCAAGAAACACCGCCAAGAACCCAAAACAAACTGAAAAAGAGAACAAACACTTGAACATTACACGTATAATAGGCACTTAGACAATATATTACGTAACTTACGCACTTAAGAATAGAAAAGAATTCAAAGGCTCGAGTTGATTCATATCCTTGACCACATATATAGGATCGTCAACTCTCTATAAGGCCCCAGAGTCAAGAATTCAAAGGTCTTTTGGTTACTTTGAACCCCCACTCACCTCAAGCGCTCAAACAATGATTCCAAAAGATGAAAAAGTTTATAAAAGAGCGAATCTTTCTTTCATTCTAACTCCCATGCACAAAGTATTCATGAAGAACATTTGATACACTTTAATAAACTTTAACGTCTAATGATGAAAATATTTTGCAGGTCTCCTTGAACTACTCAAGCATAAGAATTGTAATCTATTCACATAAGAAAAACATTACATATTTTCATTAAATCAAGAGTTGTTTATTGCGCTTAAACAATCCCAATTTTTATGAAAATAACAAACAAGGACACCAAGACATAAACAATCACTTTATAACGAATCTTAAGGTAAACGTTCAACTTATGTGGCTAAGAAGTTCATTTACCTTAAAATTTTACAAAACACGAGTCACAAAAGAGATTCACGTATGAATTCGAAAATCATTTAACTAAAATATGTAGCTAAATTAGTTTCAATGATAACCGAATTCGATATACCAACCTACTTATGAAATCAAATTTATAATTCAACCAATTTAACATCAATTTGCGCAAAAATTGAAGAAACTAGTAAGAATCAATTTTC